TGCCTCTGGACTTGTAAGTGCAATCAGTTGAATGGGTTGTGCTACAAGAAAGGTTTTTTCCACGGCATGAAGCATAGCAACCACTGATCCACTTTGACATGGATACAACCGACGCTGGAGCATAGCTATGCTCGGGACCTGCATCGTGACCATGTTTTTGCCACACCGTGCAGTGGCCGCTGGTCACTGGTAATTGAGAAGTGAAGCTCATTTGTAGGCTTTTCGTAAACTTTGCTAGAGCACAAACCCACGCTGCCATGCTCTTCGTTCGAGAATTCAGGCCCATTGATAGTTAGTAGTTTTCGTTTCACTTGTTTCACCTTAGCACAGAGGAAAGACTACAAGATGGTGGAGACTCGGCCTGTGGGCTGTGGTTTGCGGTTGTTTTGGTTGGTTTGGTTTGTTGTTGTGTTGTCTTTGTCCTTTTCTCCACCATCTGATTGTTTTTCCTTTCCTTCAATGATGACCTGGGCACCATGCCCACACGGCGTCCGTACTCGTGGAAAAAGAGCAAGTCCGTTTTCATGCGCGCAACCAGCTTATGCACAAACTGGACAGAGGTTAGTTCTTGGCGCTCATCTTGGTTTGCACAGATGAAAGTTTTTCGGTGTGTCCAGTGTCCGTGGATGGCACAGGAACACGACAGGTGATCAAAGCACACGCTTTCAGGGTTCGAGACCAATCACCATGACGGTGGATAAGAGGGGTTTGGGCAATGGCTGCCTCTGCCAGAGGTATGGAAGAGACCGCGTGAGTTGCTGGAAGGGGTTTGGCCGTCAGGAAAGCGCATGGAACTTGGAAACAGCTGTGGGCAAAAATTCTGACCAGGCCGGCCTTCTGCCATTGCTTCCAAAATCTTTCGATACCCATTGGCCCATGTCAAGTGAGAAAAGTGTGCATGTGGAGGATGACCATTTCGGTGCTGAGGTCAACGAGGGTGAGCAGTTTGCAATTTTCATGCGCCCTATCGCCAAGGAAAGTTGCATCTCCTCCCATGGCCAACCTGCACCCCTTCAGTTGTGACCCCAACTTTCTCGAGAGCATAGCACTCCGAGAAGAGTCGAACACCCAAATCTGCGCATCTAGGCATTTCGACCATAAACCAGGGCATAACATCCCTGGAAAGCGGCATGTTCGATGGCCAGTACAGTGTTAGAAAGTTTGACAATTTGGAGTGAGGCCTGCGACGCATAGACGCCTGGCCGTCCTGCGGGATGCGGGCGGAAGACCTGAAAGTGCGGCGGAGGCCGCGGCACTTGTGGGCACTCTGGCTGAGGGGTGAGCCACAAGGCAGCTAGGCTTGTCGGTCGATCATGTGAAATCCCCAGTCCACTTTGGCATGCTCGAGTCGCACAACTGAGAAAGGCTTTAGCCACAAGTGCCCTCGTGTCATTCCGGGGACCCTGATGGCTTTGGAGTGGTGATCATACTCCTCCGCCTGGAATTGCTCTTTGCAGTCAAACAGCTGCAAGCAGTCTTGGACCACAAGGCGGAATTGCGTGTTTCGCCATGGAGTCACACGGCACACACAGCGCCTCCACCCGTGAAAAAAAATTTAGTCACACAATGCCAGTTGCGTCTCTACGTCAAAGAAGGTGAGTTCGCACCCAAAGGTATCCAGAGTACTCACAGCAGGCAAGTTTTTCCATCAAGTGTGCTTCAAGCATGTCCCACGTATGGTGGATGCTCACTGGAACTTCAATCCGAATGGCGGCACCTGCCATGGAGCTGAAGGCAGTGCGAGCTGTTACCCTCAAATTCGTGATCATCCCTGCATGTCAGGGACATGCCTTTTTGTGGTTGCAGGAGCCAGAGGGACAGCAAAGCTGCTACCTCCATCTAAACGCTCATTCTACCATGGTTTTGAGCCGCGCAATCACGCCTTCGACCCTCTGAAATGGTTGGTGCTTGGGTCTCAGCGAAAGCCAAGTGGCCTGACCCCCTTGATGCCCACACACCACAGCCAGGACAACATCTAGGGATGTTGCCTGAGAGGAAAACTCTCGACTGGGGCCATCACAGGTCTGTGCAAACTGGCACGACAGTCAGGGGTCATGGACTCATTCTGGCGACGCCGGTGACATGGTCCAAGCCTCCTGGTGCCGGTTTTGGTTGTGCCAGCTGATTAATGAGAAAGAAACGAAGCCCTTGCATTGCCACTTGGGAGAAGACAATTGCAAGAGCCATCTATCAAGGCTGCTACCAAGCGAATGATGACTTCGAAGAAGAGCGAGAACTGGAACCACACTACGATCAATCAGGAAAACCCAGTGAGGGCAGCCCCTGAGTCAGAGCAAAATGAAGGGTGTGAGGTACCTGTTGGAAGTGTCTGCTGAGCAATTCATAAAACGAAAAAAGAAACCAGGTGAGACAAGGACTGGTGCTGGGTGTCAGCCTGAGCTTCCAAGGTCCTTGCGCAGCTCCTCGCAAAAAACTTCAGCCCAATCCGCCCTCCACTGCCAACACTCTGGTGTCGAACTAATGGCATTTGTCAAACCACTGCTCTCAGCGCATGGTCCTCTCCATGTCGTTCCAGCTTTTGTTTTGTGAGTTGCGTGCATGCACTTCACGCAACAAAGTACACTTCAGAAAGGCTTTGCCGCACCTCAACTTTTGTCGCTGCTTTCTTCATGGAGGGATCGACGCCGAGATATGCCCTAAGCCCTAAGGATCCAGTCGCACGGAACGTCAGGAGGTACGACTGGGCCCTCCTGGCACCAACATAAATAGTCTCCTTCCTCACCGTACCTGAGGTTCGGTACGACTGGATCGCGGAAGGATTCCGCACCCGAAGCCAATGCAAGGGCTTTGGTTTACAGCCCCACCCTGGCCCCAACGCGGGTCTCCCACGGGAGGCGAGCTTAGGAAGAGTGGCCTTGGAAACGCAGCGTGCACGATGTGTCAAGAGCCTGGCCATTCAGTATGAGGCTGGACGGGCCGTGACCTCTAGCTGTGTTTGGAGACATCTCATCCAAGACAGCTTGCAGGCGAGTGAAGAACGATCAACAGAATTACATTTGGTCCTGAAATCCAACTGTCAATGGAGAATCTTCCGTGCATCGGTGGGCCAACTTGGAAGGGCCACTTCCTTCTCTAACTTTCACAATTTTTACCCCTGCATTGCCCACAACAGGGTGAGTCAACTTGGAAGGACAACTTCCTTGTCGAATTTTTACCCTTGCATGGCCCACAAAAGAGTGAGTCAACTTGGAAGGGCCACTTCCTTCTCTAGATTTTACAACTGCATGGCCCGCAAAAGGGTGAGTCAACTTGGCATCATGGCCACTTCCTTCTCTAAAATTTACCCCTGCATTGCCCACCAAAGGGTGAGTCAAGTTGGAATGAATTTTCCTTTTTCTAAATTTTACCCCTGCGTTGCCCACACAAAGGGATGAGTCAAGTTGCAACGGCAATATCCTTCTTTAAAACTTACCCCTGCATTGCCGACGAAAGGGTGAGCCAAGTTGGCTTCCTTCTCTAAATTTTACACCTGTGTTGCCCACAAAAAAGTTGTCAACTTGGAATGGCAACATCCTTCTCTAAACTTTACCCTCGGGTGGCTCACCAAAGGGTGGGCCAACTTGGAAGGGCCACTTCCTTCTCTACCTCCAACTTAATAGCAATGGCCTCCAACCTACTAGCGATGGAGGCCATCGCTACTAGGTGGGAGGCCATCGCTAGTAGGTTGGAGGCCATTGTTACTAGGTTGGAGGCCATTGCTACTCGGTTGGAGTTTTGTTACTAGCTTGGAGGCCATTGTTATTCGGTTGGAGGCCATCGCTGCTAGGTGGGAGGCCATCGCTAGTAGGTTCGCGGCCATTGCTATTGGGTTGGTAGTAGGTTGGAGGCCATTGCTATTAGGTTGGGGGGCCATCGCTAGTAGGTTGGAGGCCATTGTTACTAGGTTGGAGGCCATTGTTATTAGGTTTGAGGCCATTGCTATTCGGTTGAAGGCCATTGTTACTACAGGTTGGAGGCCATGGTTATTCGGTTGGATGCCATCGCTACTACTTTGGAGGCCATCGCTAGTGGTTGGAGGCCATTGCTATTGGGTTGGAGGCCATGTCTAGTAGGTTGGAGGCCATTGCGATTTTATAGAGGCCACCGCGTAGGTTGACACGGTGATTTTTGTCCGGAGGGCCTTGCTATTAGGTGGGAGGCCGTTGTTTCTAGGTTGGAGGCCATTACTCTTAGGGCCTCCAGCCTCCGCCCCATCATCGACCTGGACACCGGACACAGGCTCCAGGTAACCCGCAACCGAGCCAGCAACCGACCCGGCCTGGTCACCCGCCAGCAGCCACGGGCCCACCGGCCACTGGCCCGGCCACGGACCGCCACCGGCCGACCGGCCGCATGACTCCGGCCACCGGAACGGCCACCGGTCACCGGCCCGGTCACCGGTCACCGGCCGGGCCACCGGACTCCACACCCGGACACCGACCACCGGTCCGGCCACCGCCCACCGGCCCGGTCGTTGGCCATCGGCCGGACTCCGGCTACCGGACCGGCCGCCGGCCACGCGCAAACAAAGTATATACTCCCGTCTCTGTCTCCGTACATAAATCCTAAAGCTAAGAAACCTAGCTACAAAGTCAGAAAACGCAATCGCCAGATCTAATGCCATTTATGTCGAAATCTTTGACTGACATATGGCGCATCCCGCAGTTCTGTGATTCGGCGTTTGTCGTCCATGTATCCAGCAGGAACACACATCCAGCAGCTGGGTTCAAGCAACATGTCCATGTCACGGCAGGACTGCACAAAGCATGGTCAATCACTTCAGAAGACTTGTGCGTCAAGAGTTCAGGATCTTCCTTCATTGTGCTGATCCACTGTGAAGTCTGCTTTGACCAGGGTGTTTAGATTGCTGTCAAACCCTCAACTTGATAGATGAACACGCACACACACACACACACACACACACACGCACACGCACATTTTCCGGGACCTTTGTTCGCTCCAAGTACGTGGTCACGCGTGGGTCCTTTGTTGCTGGTCGTCGTCTCGCCCCGAAAGCCGAAACATGTCGCGCTTTGAGAGCGACACGGAGAGCGAGTCCGCGGAGGGCGAGTCCGTGCAGGCGAGCTGCTTCAGTGGAGGGGCAGGTGGTGATGAGAGGAGAGCACACCAGGTGGAGGTTTGGTGGACTGCAGACTGCAGAGGGTCTGGTGACGGTCCGGTGGACTGCAGGTTTTTGTTGATTCTGATCTTTGGGATCCGCGGTGATTCTGATCTTTGTGGTTCCAACGGATCATGTTTTTAAAAATATTTTGTTGTGTTATGAAGAGACCTGGCTGAACCCAAGAGCACTTGGGGCATGAGGCTCCAGCGTGGCTTTTCAATCCAAAGCGAAATTTGAGAGCAAACTGGGGTGCTGCCGGCAAAAAGTATAAGGGAATAAGACACATGGCAATAAAATTCCACTTGAGGTCTCGGCAATGCTGCGCGACTTTGTTAGCAGCTTGGATGAAGACACCTGTCGGGCACTGCAGAAGGCGGGGGATGCCAGGGGCATCGCGTGCACATGATTGGCCCATTCAAATAGATTGCTTGTTGCCATCTCTCAATGTCTTGAGTTCTGCGGTGCGGTGTGACAGCTGCCTCACCCAAGTGTTCCCGTTGGGGTTTTCAGCTGCGCCAAGACTTCAGGACCCTGAGGCCCTTGAGGCCGAAAACTCTAGGCGCTGAGGCTCAAGAAACTCATGCACCGGCTGTATCAGGCCGTCCATGACCGGCTGGCTGGGGGCACACAGAATGCTTCGGCAACGGAATGGCTCGGCCCAGTGTCCAGGCGGAAATTAGGGTGAGTAGGGTGAGTGGGTCAAGCACTGTTCACTGTTGGGCTTGTGGCTTGGCTGTTCCATATGCTTTCACAAGACGCAGTTTTCCAAAGCACGGCCCCTTTGAGAACGGCGCGGCTGTTTGTGTTTGCATGGTGGCAATGGATGGCAATCGTGGCAACACGGAACCATATTTTGGAGGGAGTTGTCATGGATTTGGGTGGTTCTCCCTCCTTAAGACAAGACCATGTTTCTCCAGCTGCCATTCAGCAAAGCCAGGTGGTATTTGTGTAGTTCAAATCAATTGGGCAAACACCAACAAGTGTTTGATGGATCCATAAGAGTCAAAGTCAGTGCATGTGCATTGTACCTTCGCTTTCTTGGCTTTTGGTCGCCCTTTTTGGCACGAGGAGGCACTAATGAATAATACACACCCACTCAATCAGATCGATGCTTTCGACGTTATGATGTCTTCCACCAGCATCGATTTCTCACCCTCTGTGTCTCTCCAGACGCACCCAGGAGTTTAAGTCTTCTCGCCTGGAAGAGATCTTTCAGACTCTTGAGGCATGGGCGGTGCGCAAAAGCCCGGAAGAAACGGCTGAGGGCCGTGTGGACATGTGTGGACCTGTCTTGACGATTTCGATCTTGGAGGGCTCTTTAGGCCGTGTCGATTTTCAGTGCCATCGAGCGTCGCCAAAACGAGGAGGTGGAGCCCGTGGTGAAGGCATCGAACATGGCACATGCCATGCGGCTAGCTGGCTTGGACCCGACGGCTTCGGAGGCAGGGGAAACAGGGACATGAAAGAGCTGGCAGATCAAATATGTGGCAGTAGATCTATGATGTACCTGAGTCGGAAACGAAGATGCTGTGGATGGCTGCTGAAGAATCCTGTTTTCGGACAGTTGATGGCTGCTCTTCAGCCGCTGTGATTCGATGCTTCAGGTTTGCAAGGTCTTGGAGAACATCGGGAAGCTCGAGATCTTGAACCTCGACAGTTTCACTCAGGTCATGCAGGACAGTCATGCAGTTACAGCTGTAGACTCTTGATTCGATTTCAATCCCCCATTATTCGAAGGGTCGAAGGGGTATAGATTTCATCCATATTTGGGGCGATTTCATCCATCATGAGGTATAACTCCCTCTTCACTCCGTTAATACATCATTTTTGGAGTCGGTAGACCGAGTCCGCAAGCACTCACCGAGGGCGCCCTTGTCAGCCCGTCTTGGTCTTGGTCTCGTCCAGGAGGTCATCGAAGAACGGTACAAGAAGAATGAGGCATTTGGGTGGAAGCTGAACGGGCCAGTTCAGGTCAGAACAAGAGGCCTCTGCATGGTGGATTTTCCAGCTTTGGCCTTCCCAGGTCTATCCACAGAAAGGGCATTCTTTGTTTTTTGTTTTTTGTTTTTTAATTTTGCGTTGTAAGCATCTCGTTGTTTTTCACTCGGAGTTTTCTCGTGTTCTCACTTCCAAACGGCTTCTGGATCACCGTCATGCGCAGTCGTCTGGTCCGCTGTCCGCCTTCTGTGAAGGCTCGAAAGCTCTTGCGCAGCTGTCGGAGTGTCGATCCGGAAAAAAGCGGCCTCTTGGGACGCATCGAAGAGCGGCGGCGGCGGCATGAGCAGTCGTTCCTTTCTTGTGCCAAGGAGGTCTGAGGAGGTGTGGTTGAGCGTGAGAAGGTGAAGGGAACTAACCAGTGACTCTTGACAGCAAGACCCGTCGACCCGAGGCCTCCTTCCGCAGGAGACCCTCGTGCAGCTTATGCATGCCCAAGGTCCGTGCCGAAGCGGATGAAGCATGAAACACCAAGCTTTTCAGATGACGTCGTCCTGCTTGTTTGATCTTGTTTGCCTTGTTTATTGTTTTTTACTTCAATCACACTAACCCCTGTGTCCAAGGCATCACTTTTTCAGATGAGCTTCAGGAGCTGCTTCCATTGGCTCGTTGGTTTTGCAGGTTCTTCTCGGTCTAATGCAATACCCTGTGTGGTTGGAGACCTTGCGTGGTGCTCCTAGTTGTCCTTGTTTGGGAGAATGTGATCAATGGCACACACTCGCACAGTCTGGTCGCAAATGTGCAGGATATTCTCAATGATGTTCCTTCCAACAGCTGCTTGGACGAGGGGAAAGACTAGGACAACATTTTTACTGTAGCGGCGTGGGGTTGCTCCTTCGCTCCTTAGGTCAAGGCTTCAACTATGAGGTTCTCATCAGCCTGCTTTTCACCAAGGCGACCTGAGAGAGCACTCTCTTCTTGGTCTTCCGTTGGCTTTTGGGCTTTGGTGGCTTTTGTTGCTTTGCAACTTTTGGCTTGTTTTTTTGTTTTTTGCACTATAATCTGTCTTCTTTGTGGCTCTGTTACTTTTGGCTTCTGTGTGCTTTGGCTAGCTTTCTATCGCAGGTTCTCCCTTTCTCTCATTTTTTAATGTTTGTCTTCAACGTTCCACTGGAAACGCTTGGCTGAGCTCATAGGCTGAGATCTCTACACCTTTTGGCGGTGTGTTGGTTCATGGTCCCTTGTTTTAGTCTTTGTGGATGTTGTTTGTAGACAAAGACATTGAGCCATCCATTTGTGGTTCCTGGAAGAATGCGTCGGGCCCAACGATTCGTTGTGTTTACGAAGTCCCAAGACGTGGAAGTTCTTTGTAGACGAAGACGGCGCGGACCGCGCAACATGCATAGGAAGGAACCCATGAGATGGACACATGCACACCTACATGAATGTCAAAACCTGATTGGGAGCACCCTAGCAACCCCCCAAAAAATTATCCAAGATTGCAGCCCGGAAGTGCGATGCCAAGAGTTGTCTTAAGATTACAAGCAGTGCACATTGTGTACATGTGGGCTCTGCACTGTCAGGTCGACGATGACATGTTTGAGAGCAAGCAGAATGAGCAGAATGTCGAAGCCGAGAAGTTAAAGGAGGCACAGATTCTGTTGATTTCTCTTTAACTTGGAATGATCGAGCGGCCACTTATTACGGATTCATGACGAAATGCCTTTCATGCTCCATGGCCAGCGGTCAATTGACAATTGAGGCCACCCTATCAGGATTCCCCACGTGGTCAGTGGCAAGTAGTGTTTAACTTATACTTTCTCGTCTTCCCGCTGTCCCCGCTTTGTCTAAGTAGGGAGCCTCAAAGCGTCGATAGAAGCTCCTTCGGTTCGTCTCACCTCTTTTCTTCGCCCCGCGGGCCAAGCGCCGCAAGAAGCTTGACCAGAAAACCATCCTTTTGGGGCCGCTCTCAAGCGGCCTCTCAAACTCAATCTCCCAGGGCGCCACATCCCTTGTGTTGCTGTGATTGCTCATCTCCTTTTCTTTCATGCTTCGGTTGTCTTTAGGTTGTTCGAGCTTTATCCACGCTACTCACATGTAAAAGCCATCAGACTCCCGTGGTCCTTTCCATGTGGTGACGGTCCTGAACGACGCTCCTCCGGTGCTTCGGTCGAAAAATCGCCAGGTGCGGCCAAGCAGGGACTCCCAGGGAAAACGGACGAACAGGAAGCGACTCAAGCGACTGTTTAGGTCCCAAACGGCTCGCTCCGTTGGATGAAGAGACTTGTGAATTGTGTTGAATCGTGCTGAATGGCATGAGGCCTGAATTTCGTGCTGAAGGAAGGTGCGGTGGTCCATCCTGAGGAAGGCAAAGTCTTGGTACGGGCCATGGCCACTGGTGTACTGGAGTGGTACAACCCAGACACCAAGACTTTACTGGGCTCGATGCCAGTCCACTCGCCTGGATCCCAGATGATGTTTTGCACCGTTTGGGACAAAACGGAAGAGTTCGTTTCAAGTGCAGTTAGTTCTAACATGTTGTAACTGTTACTTTTACTATTGTTATTATTATGACTATTCTGATTTTGTTCTTTTTTCTATCTACTTTTTAGTTTGCTGTTAGTTGTGCTTAAACTTATATGAAACGAATTGCCAGTTGATGCCCATCGGCAGCCTTAAGACTTCCTTCCGCTTCGCGTAGGTCAGATTGGGGAGAGTTCATCGACTCAGGCCTGAGTGGCGTGTTAGTTAGTTACAGAGTGTAAGACGGATGGCGAGTCTGTTGTGTTGATTCTCATTTGGAGACGACGTGGATGTTGAGACATTCCAGCAGACCTGAGGAGAAAAGGAGTGGCTGGATTTCCTGGATCGATGGCCGAACCTGATGGGTGCCAGTCCTAGATGAGGCACATGAGGCACTGAGGTTCGCCCATGAACGCCCAGGTTGCAGTGGACTGTGGTTATGTCAATGAAGCACTGTGTGGATTCTGTTTCTGAAGAAGCTTTTGGGTGCGTGAGGTGACCAACTGCAAGCGCTGGATGCGTTGAGGTCCTCAGCCACAGGACTGGCCGATCGACGATGCCTTTTGCTTTCTTTCTGTGTGCTTTTTCTTTATGCGGCTTCCAAATTCGGAGGCCTGCAAAAGTTGAGTAACCCGGCTCGAGACAGCGCCCTCTATGAATTGGTGCTGGCCTGAGGACAACCACAGAGTATCACAGAGTCGCTGGCTTGTAAAGACTCGTTATGGTCATCCAAGGTGAAGCTTTCCCTGTGTCCTCAAGAAGACTCGCCCTACCAGGCTGACAGCCAGTCAACATTTACGCTACGCATTTGTGAGATTTATGGACAGAATTCTGGTAAGACTGCGTGCAGGTCATAGCCAAAGCAACACAAGCCTTTTTGTTATGTGGCCTGACACCGAGAGGTGCTCCGTTTCTTGGCGATTGAGCACTATTGCTTACTGATACTTCTTGATTAAGGCCATTGCGACATGTTGCCGGAGGCGGCTCCGGCCACTTGGCAGCGGTGCGCGAAACGACGAGGAGCTTTGCGACCTCAGCAGCAGCTCAGGTGGTTCCAGACTATGACCTTACAGATCCGATGGATTTGGCGAACTTCTTCTCGTTTGCAAACATCCGGCTGCTGCGTGGCGCTTTCATCAAGCACTTGGCGAAAGAGAAGCTGGGGTTGCCCAGGCGACAGGAGGCAGAGCAAGCAAGTTGCGGATCCCAGACGGCTTTGGCCGCTTGCTGCATAGAGCTGGGCTGGTTCTGCAGATTGGTAGGCAGAAAGCTATGTCGTGTGGTTTAAACATGAGACCAAATGCAACACACACAAAACAAGCTGTGTACAGCTACAATCAGAGAAAGTATTGCCGTCACAGCACCGCAAGGGAAAGTCATAGCACCGGTGGGACGAGTACCGTCGCCTGTGAGATACAATCGGCAGCCGAGGTGACTCACGAGGAGGTCAAAGGATGGGCGGCAGATCTCAAAGCAGGAAAAGAGCGCCAAAGGATCTTCGCCATTTCCCATGTGTGGCCCAGACCAGACTGACGCGGTGTTCTTGCTTAGTTTCGATTCCTTTTTGTGGGCTCACCGAGAACTGTTTTGCCCATTCGGCCGGAGGATTGGCTCTTCTACGACTACTGCTGCCTATACCAGTTCCTCAGAACCAACAGCGAAGAGGAGTCCAGTTTCTGCTCAGCACTGCAAAACATGCACGTGATCTACTCTCACGAGAGAACTATGACCCTTTGCATCGATCTCACTCCTCACGACCCAAGCTCGCACCCTTCTTCACCAGACTTTCGCTGCAGCATCTACCATTTTCCCTCCAACGCTTGCGTCGAAGTGGCCCCAAGCAGCTTGTTGCCCAACGACACGCCCTACGACTCCCGCGGCTGGTGCGTGGCTGAACTGCAGGCCTCGCAGAGTCGACATGGTGTGCCCGGCCGACCCCCGACGCAGCGCCTCGTCGGCCGGTATCCGGACGTCTACGTGGAAGACATGGAGGCCCAAGTGCCGATGCCCCCAGAGGTGTTTCGAGCCCGGGCGGAGCAAGGGCAACTGCGGTTCAGCGATCCGGGAGATTTGGAGGTAGCACTAAGGCTTCAAAGCGAGGCCTTTCGCAAGACCAGCGGCAGATTCGAGTCATTGAGTCTAAGCGAGTTGGAAGCTGCTTCTCGACCTATGCGATGTGGTGCGTTTAGTTTGACTTCTTGTGTTTTCTTTGGACGTACCGCCACATATCCACACCCTTGGGTAGGCTTCTTGTTTTGATGAGTTGGTCAATAAGGATGAGATTGATGTGCTGGTCAAGGCCTTGCCATTTTTATCGAACCTGCAGAAGTTGGAGATCAAGAAGAGCAAACCTCTGGCTGGCAAGATGGAAGACTTGGCCAAGGCTTTCTGGGCTTGGAGTGTCCAAGGGCTTTAGGAGGCTCTAGGAAAGCTCTTCAAAGCATGGGCTTGGGGTGGAGTGTCCAGGTCACAGGCTTGTCAACCGTCTTGTTGCGCTCGGAGTTGCATCCGTCGGCGCACCGGCGCACAGGTGCTCCATGGCAAGAGGACGCTCACAAGTTTGAGCCTCCCTGAGAATGAGCTTGGTGTAGCTGAAGTTCTTTTGGTGATACAGGTTTCGGATGTGTCCGGTTAATTGCTTGTAACTTGTCATCAGCAACCTGAAGCGATGTTTGGGGCTGCTTTGGCATTTCAGGATTTTGTCTTCGAATGTTTGCTTGTGAAGGTGCTCGGGGACCTTGGTTCGCTGACCAACTTGAGCCTAGCGCAGAACAACCTCGACAATCATGCTTGGGTTTCGGCACTGTGTCAGGTCCCTTGTCAATCGGTCGATCTTTGTGCACTGTTGTGCCGGGCGGAATTCTGTGTGTTCCAATTTGTGTGTGTGTGTGTGTCTTTCTTGGCCTTCTTGGTTTGGCTCTGGTGCAGGTCCTCGAAATGACTGGAACGACTGGCCGGAGGCTCACATGGATTAATTTGCAGAAGACCCAGATGGGGGAGAAGGGTGCTGTGGCACTCGCCCAGGTGCGGCACTTGGTCATGTTTGGAGCTTGAAATTGTACACAGCCGCCGTGCGTCAGAAAAGCTTCTTTTAACACTCTTTAGTCTTCAGGCGAGGTTGATGTTGAAAGCTAAACTGGAGGAAGATGGGCCCATTCTGCAGGCTCTACATGCTGCTGAAGCGAAGACGGCAAAGACGCAGGTGGACCTCGAAGGCAATGATTTGGGTGCAGGTGCATTGCATCTGGCCATGGCGGTCAAGGCCCACGAGGCCGTTCACGTCCCACGGCTTTCGGCCACGGATTCACTCGATATGTTTGTTTCTGAATGCTTTTGTCGTCCGAGCTTTGCAGGGCATTGCTGTAGAGCATCGCATGGTGAAGTTTCTTTGCTTGGGGCTCAAGGCCAGTTTCTGAGTTGCGTTTGTTGGTTTCTCAAGCAGCGTTTGTTGGGCCCCTGATGAAATCACAGGTTTGCTAAGATTGTAGATCCTGTAGCGATATAGATCTTGGTTTGTGCTGCTGATTTCTTTGCCGTCCTTCTGTTCTCGGTGATTGGAATTCTTCTTGGATTTAAAGCGGCCAGAAAGTCATGCAAACTGCAAGCAAATTGATGAATGAAGGCTGAAGGCGTGCTGCTGAGCCCATTGATAGGGCGGCGGGACATTAGTCAAGGCCTTAAAAGACAGTGATTGATATCTCTGCAGCCGAATGAATTCACTCTGATGCACTTGATGCCCATGATCCGCGCCCTGAAAGCACGGTTCGCACCTCGCAACGGCCGCAAGATTGCCTCAGGTCACTTGGAATTTGACTTCGACGAGTCCGCCATACCTGACCTCGGTGATGACGGTGATGACCGTCTAGAAGCTCTTTTTTCCGAGCACCTGCTGGAATTGACCACGTTCACATTGAGACTGACATGCAAGACTCTTGGCAGCGGTGCTGAGACCCTTGCAAAGGGTCTGGCAAGTCTGGTCAAGCTCAGAAACTTGCAAGTTCATTTAGGCAGCTGCAGCGTTGGTGATGACGGTGCTGTAGCTCTGGCAAAATCCTTGGGTGAGCTGACTCAGCTCACCAGTCTGGAGTTCAGTTTGGAACACAACTGTGTTGGGGATAAAGGTGCAGTGACTCTTGCGACGTCATTGGAAAGCCTTTTGGAGCTCACCAGTTTGCAACTGAATCTGGCAGCAAACAGTGTGGGTGACGAAGGTGCCAAAGCTCTTGCAAGATCCTTCCGCAATCTTAAAAAACTTACCGAATTGCAAGTCAGTTTGAAAAGCAACAGTGTTGGTGACGAGGGTTCTGCAGCTCTGGGAGATGCCTTGGGCAATCTCACGCAGGTCACCAATTTGCAAGTAAATCTGGAACGTAACAAAGTTTTTGATGAGGGCGCTATGGAACTTGCGAAGTGCTTCAGCAATCTAGTGCACCTTATCAAGTTGCAAGTGATTTTGGGACACAACAGACTTTGTGCTGCGGGTGCCAAAGCTCTTTCAGCATCCTTCAGCAATCTTGTGCAGCTGACCTGTTTGCAAGTCTCTTTCAAAAGCAACAGTGTTGGTACTGAAGGTGACACAATAGCTCTTGCAAAATCCTTCGCAAGGCTTTCACAGCTGACAAACTTGCGGGTGGACTGGGCAGAGAACAGTCTTGGTGATAGAGGCACAGGAGCTCTTGCTGAGTCTTTAGGTAGCCTTGGGCAGCTCACTAGCTTGGAAGTCAATTTTGCACACAACAATGTTTCTGATGAAGGGGCCCAAACTCTTGCTGAATGTCTTGGCAATCTTGCGCGGCTGACGAATTTGCAAGTGATTCTGGAAGACAACGTTGTTGGAGGTGAAGGCGCTGTAGCTCTGGCAGGATCCTTGGGCAAGCTGACTCAGCTCGCCAAGTTGAAGTTCAGTTTGGAACACAACTGTGTTGGTGATAAAGGTGCAGTGGCTCTTGCGACGTCATTCGAAAGCCTTCTGGAGCTCACCAGTTTGCAACTGAATCTGGCAGCAAACAGTGTGGGTGACGAAGGTGCCAAAGCTCTTGCAAGATCCTTCCGCAATCTTAAAACACTTACCGAATTGCAAGTCAGTTTGAAAAGCAACAGTGTTGGTGACGAGGGTTCTGCAGCTCTGGGAGATGCCTTGGGCAACCTCACTCAGGTCACCAATTTGCAAGTGAATCTGGAACACAACGGTGTTCTTGATGCTACAGAACTTGCAAGGTGCTTTGGCAAGCTTGTGCAGCTGACACATTTGCAAGTGAATTTGGGAGACAACAGACTTGGTGCTGACAGTGCCAAAGCTCTTGCAGCATCCTTAAGCAAGCTTGAACAGCTGACTTGCTTGCATGTTGATCTGCTCGGCAACAGTGTTGGAGACCAAGGTGGCATAGCTCTTGCAGAATCCCTGCACACACTTGTTAAGCTGACGAGTTTGCAACTTGATTTGCAGGGCAACCTCATTGGACATAAGGTGGCCGAAGGTGGTTTGCAGGGCAGCATCGTTGGCCACGAGGTGGCCGAAATTCTGGCCACATCTTTGGAAAGACTTGTGCAGCTCAACGATTTGGAATTGAATTTAGCGGGCAATATGCTTGGAGCTGAGGGTGCCGTAGATGTTGCAAGATCCTTGGGCGTTCTGAAAGGGCTGACGAGTCTGAAAGTGAATTTGGGAGACAACGGAGTTGGTACTGGAGGTGATGTAGATGTAGCTGCAGCTTTGGCAGAGTCTTTGAACAACCTGATGCAGCTTGCCACATTGCAAGTGAGTTTGGAACGCAGCAGTGTTGATGATGCTGCTGAGGCTCTTGCCACATCCATTGGCAATCTCAAGCAAGTCACCAATCTGCAAGTCCGTTTCAAAAGCAACAGTATTGACTCTACAGATGCAAGGTATCTTGCAGAAGCCTTTGAAAGCCTTGCACAGCTGACAGAATTGTGGGTGGACTGGGCAGACAACAGCATTGGTGATGAAGGCGCAAAAGGACTCGCAACATCTTTGGGCAGTCTCAAGCAGCTGACTAGATTACAGGTCAATTTGACTCGCAACAATGTTGGTGACACAGGCATCAATCCTCTTGCTGAATCTCTTGGCAATCTTGTGCAGCTGACGAATTTGCAGCTGATTTTGGAAGATAACGTTGTTGGTGGCAATGGGGTTGTAGCTCTGGCAGAATCCTTGGGCAAACTTGTCCGGGTCTCCAGTTTGCAAGTGAATCTGGAACGCAACAGTGTTGGTCAAGCTGGTGCTGTAGCCCTTGCGAACGGCTTCAGCACTCTTGTGCGGCTCGCGAATTTAGAACTGAATCTGCAGGCTAGTGGTGTTAACGATGGAGCTGTTGATGTGTTGGGAGAGGCTTTGGAGAAGCTCACCAAGCTCACCAACCTGGAAGTTGATTTGCGGAGCAACCCACACGTAGATCTTGAATGTGTGAAGACCTTCAGGGCCAGGCTTTCCCTTGTGCCGATGCTCTTGACTTATCACGATGATGACGACGATGATGTTAAGAATCTTAGCTCGCTGGACAATGCAATTTGACTTGGTCGTCGATGACGAAAAGGCGGAGTGGCTGGCGACACGGTGTTTGCCTAGAGTCCTAGAGCCCCAGTTGAGAAGAAAATCACCAGAAACGATCATGCCCAGCTTCTCCACAGCCGCAGGCAGTCTGTTTAAGAAGCACCACCTCCATGCCGTGCCATTGGGGTCCACGCACGTGATGCGATGGGGTTCGTGCGTCGCAGAACTATGCGACACATGCCTCTGTCCAGGTGTTTGTTTAGAGCGACACACTCATGAATTTCAAGTTCCACAATTTGAACATGACTCAAGGCCTCTTTCTTTTTGAACAAACCGCAAACCCTCCATTCTCCATGTTTTTAAACGAAAACTGCAAGAGCAGGACTCGTGGACGCAAGCTCGGCTCAAAGTGTAGCCATTTCAGTGCAGCAGGCGAGTCGTGTGTATTCACTAAACAGCCATGGTGCGCTTGATTCTGGCCCTTGTGCTTTGCACTTCCGTGCTGGCACAGAAAAGGCCTCCAAGAAGAGAAGCACAAAAGGAGTTCGCTGAGTGCCTCCTGACAGGCGGAGTTCGGTTCTGGGGCGGAACGATTTCAGATGCCCAAACGACCCTTCTCTATTTGGATGTTTGCTTGGATGTTTGAACCGGAACTGAATGCATGGATGCCAAACCTCGAGTTGCTTTTCAGTGAACCGGCCAAGAACAACGGGCCAACAAAAGGCGCGCCCGCCGCGCGTGGGTGACCAGGCTCCACGAACGAGGAGTGCCGCTCCCTCCTCGAGGGCAACCGGACGCGCGACGAGGTCCGTGAACGTCTCGAGAAGGAGAAAGGACCGAAGGGGGAACAGCGGAGGGGCATCAGGGGCGGGAGGGATTAGGTGGCAGCTGGCGTCGAAAATGGTGTCACAAAGGCTGTCCCTCCAGTGAATTTCAAGGATATCAGGGACAGATACGATTTCAGGGTGGATGGGTGTGATATGGTGTGATGGTGTTTTGGGGGCTTTCAACTGTTTTTTTCTTATATATCACATCTTCGAACACCCTGAGACCCGCCAGACGGAAGAAAAGACGCACGAAGGACAGGTCGGACGGTTTCAAAGATTGCTTGGCGCTTCCAAAAGCCTGATGTTTGAAACTTCCATGACATCATTCATGACCACGTCATTCATGACCACCCTTTCTCTTCAGGCTTCTTCCATCCGAGCCGCTTCCGAGGTCCCGCCCATCAACCGACGGCCGAACGGTCCCCGGCTCCGGCTCCCGGCTCCCGGCTCCCGGCTCCGAACCGAACCGTGGCTGCGCGGTGGGTCAGGAGTGCCTTTGGTGCTGGGAGAGCTGCTCAAGAATTGCACGATGGAAATGAATACCACCGGATCCAACAAGACCTTCCAGGACGAGTCGAGCTGAACTGGATCCAAGCTCTGGGTCAGTCGCTTCTTCAGCGAGACCTGTTTCGTTGACTTTCCAGCAATTCCATTGTCCTCGGTCTTCCCCGAACGCCTCTGGTCCCTACTCCGATCCCCCGGCCCTTCGGATCGGCCCCACTCGGCCAGGATTGCCGGAAGGAGGTGATGGACGCCTTGAAGCTCCTCCGCGGCAAGGCCGTTCCGCCACGCGAAGCCCACGCGGTTTTGACGCGACGCGTGGAGCAAATCGCAGACGACATCCCACATCATCTCCAGGTGAATTGGCAACCCACTGGGTGTGGTGTTTCCAAGATTTGCAACCTTTCTCTTTTGATTCTGGTTTGTTTTCGTTATTCTTTTGCCACTTCAGAAGATTCCACATTCGTATTCAAGGATACACCCGGCCCCTCTTTCCAAGCATGCCCTGTCAAAGATTCATCTGGACTCTGGAATGCAAAACATTGTTTTGTTTTCTTAGGTGTTGACCTTTTACAGAAAAGCAGCTGACACAACACACATAGAAACATCCAAACAACATGGAATCACGATCAGTGCGTTTTATTAGCCGAAGATGACCTACATGAACTAATTCCAGTGAAGATATAGTTTATATAAACACAATTTGTATCTCTTAAGTAGCTATCTCTAGTACAGTGTACATTCCCAACCACATCTCAGAAGCCTCCGCTTCCTTCGTCACTCTCCGCCGTCCCCACGGGTCACCGGTCCTTCGCCGGGGGCCCGCCCTGATCGCGTCGCGTCGCGGTCGCAGGACGTGACGCCCGAGGAGTTCGAGGCGGAGCTGCGGAAGGTCGCCGCCGAGCGCGTCCGCGAGCTGATCGAGGCGTGTCTCGAGAGCGCCTCCACGGACGCCGCCAAGGAGGCCGGGAACGAGTGGCACTGTGGTGGGTGAGGAGCGCTGCGCGCTGTGTGGTGTGGCACTGTGTGGTGTGGTAAGAGTTGACCAGATTCACCAGGTGTGCCCGAAAAAGAGTGCAAGGATGCAATGGTTCTCTGCCGACATTGGCTGGCGACATGTGGACATGACACAGCCCAGCCTCGCCCTTTCATGAGGCGAAATCGCTTGCTGAGTTGTTTTTCGTCGTGTTTCACAGGCTTGCTTCAACAGTGATGAAGCCAAGAGGGAAGCTGCCTTGCTCACTGGAAAAGATCCCTCAGAGTTCAAGGTGGGCGAAGACTCGTTTCGACAGTCCATTCCTTTTTGTTCTTCATATCAACGATAGATTGTGTTTCATTTTTCTTCTTTGCATTCTTTTCAGTGTCAGTGGCTTCTTTGGAATCTTATATACTTTTTACTAAGTCTTGCTATTTTGCAGTTCATGGTTTGATGCGGGCGTTTATAGTAGTTTGCCAGAGTCACCACCTTCGCATGAACCGGAACATAGCCCTGCAGAGCATTTCGGAATCTCTGGGTTCGTCACCTGAAGCTTTGAATGGCTCGGACCGCAGAGGGTGTGAGTGGACCGCTTCTTCAAAGCCGTGAAGACCAGGGTGCGGGGGTTCACCCGGAGATTGGTCATTGTGAGGCAAGACCAAAGCAACGGCTCTACTGCTTCAACCGTGAAGGGACGCAATCTCTACTCTAGCATTTTTCAAGATTTCAACTCAAAAACAAACAGCCTGGCGGTGAGAGCTTCCGAAGTCGCCCACCTGGGCATCCAGTCGCCAGGTGGATGACTTGCGCGAAGCCGTGCGAGAAGGTGCCGCGCGGGACATTGCCGATGCGGTCGAGGAGTGTCGCGCGAAGGCCGCCAATGAGGACGCCAAGAAGGACCGGAAAGCGAACGGATTTCCAAAGACTGACGAATGTGAATGGGAGATAACAGACATGACGAATGTGAATGTTTTGAAAGAACTGTGTCTTTGGAGAGTGATCAATGAAGAGGTGTCTGCTTCAAGACATAGATTTGGTGAATTCCTTTATTCTGCCAGCAACCGGTTCAAAAGCAAAATGTAAGAGCTCAGAACTTAGAGCTGGCAGGAGCTGTAAACAATTCATACCTGCATACCTGCTTGGGTGTTTTTACATTTCCAGCCAAACCCTTGAAGCCCTCCTGAAGAAGAGGAGTGCATGAAATCAGACGACTTCAAGAAGCAAATTGGCAACAGCCGAGGCCGGCGGCGTGGGGAGACCGCGCGGATTCATCCGCGTTCGTCGCCTGAACACGCCCGAACGTGGATGCAACAAGGACCCAAGGTGGGTCCTTTTCCACTCAGTGCGACAACAAGGGGCGCATCTTTTTGCGAGTTTATTCGCTCAGGTGATGCAAAGGTGCTTTTGTTCTTTTGTGGATGTGGCTGAGTGCAGGAACTTTGATGTCATCCAATTTCCAGTGGTCTGTGTGGTACACAAATGTTCTTTTTTGCTTAAAGTGCTAAAAAATGGATGGATGCCTACGCCAAGGCATGGCAAGCTGGAGCTGTCCATTGCATTGATTTGTTCTCCTCGTCCTGGACTCCTACCTGAAGTCATTTTATCAGCATGATTGCCACCTCAGTCTCCACATTCATCGATATACACATATATTTTCTCTATTTTTGTGCTGGACTGGACCTGGTATTATAGCTAGCATTAAGACCAACAAAGAGTGACACACATTCTGTGGATTATTTGCAGATTGAGTTGGCCGATGCGCTTTTTTTCCTCGACCTGGTCATTCCTTCTTTCCACTCGGCCACCACCGGGCCACCGACGAAGACACCTGCCGTCAGACGACTTCATCCGGGACCGACGGCTTTGCCGACAGGCAAAGGCAGCGGCGATGTGAAGGACTCTGAGGTTCGCCTCTTGGCGTGAAGTCGGTCCACGTGGTCTGACGTCGGTCCACGGTGCGGACGGCAAAGGCTTAGCTGCCGTGCTTGACGTGGGTTGAACGTGGGGACCGAGGTGTGCGGGGCGTTCCTTTTTTCCGGACGTGGCCGGACTGTGGGAGCGCGTGGCCCTCTGGAAAAGGTGCTTACAATGGAGTTTCAGCAGACGAACAACCCACCTTGCGAAGCCGCTGGTGATGCGGTCAGAGGAAGAAAGATGCCGGAGCATCCGCTGGTGATGCGTACTTCCCTTGACCTCGGATTCTTGGGGGTTAGAGGCTCAATTCGCCGACTGATTGGATCATGAAAGTCCTCACAGATGTTTTATGTGGCTTTTGCGAGTTAGAAGAGGGAGACCTGATACAAAACAGTTTGTTTGTGTTTGAAGATTTGGGTCACAGTTCCGTGAGGACTGCTAGCCTGATGGAAAGGACCGCTAGTCCATGTTAACGCAAAAACAAACACGGGGGGAAGGGGGATCAGATCAGATCGTCTTGAAAGAACACGACGCCAAACAACATGCAAACAGAAAGGTTCTTCTTTTCCTTTTCTCCTTTGGTTTGTTCTCGCCGCTACCCATGAAGTCAGACTTGGCAGGATCAATCTGTCTACATGTTCAAGAAGCATCTCCTGAGCTTGCCCGGAGTGGAGCAGTGAATAGAAGCTACCACTGGGTATCACCGTTTTCGTATCTGACACTCAGCATGCGAAGCATGGGCTTTTTGTCCCCACCTGGAGCCCTGCTGTTCTATGAAACCTGTGACCAGCGGGGGGGACCATTAAGGGAGCTCTCAGCATCGGTGGCACCGAAGGGGTGGCCACAGGTGGCCACCCTTCGTTCGAAAGGAACAGCAAGATCAGAGGTGGTTGCTCGGGTTGGGCACATGGGTTGAGCTTGACACTCCTGATCATTCTTGAAGGCATTTTGAAGCTCTTTTTGATGTTATTCGTTCCTTGGACTGTTGCTAGTGACTGCTAGTCGAGTGGTCATCCGACCAAGCGGAAGGTTACTCAAGGCACTGCGCATCGACAGAAGACCGTCTCTGCTTTTCCCCACTTCCTCTTGGTTAAGAGCCAGGGGTCATATTCTCTTTGAGGCATCCACTGGTGTTCTTGCTTATTGAAGGAAGAGGTCTTGCATCGTAGGAAGATGAAGTTCAAAACAGATCATGCATGCTAGAAAAAACTATGAAACACTTGATGATGCTCGCCTTCCCCTTCACCAGCTACATCGTTGCTGCAATCCAAGCGGCTTTGACCTGAACTCACCTTGCAGCCAAGGTGAGTTCATTGAGAAGGGAGTTCTTGAGGACAGGGGTCCAGGTCCAAAGAGGTGGGTCCGAGTGGAGGGACCGTTGGACCGAACACCAGCCTTCCACAGCGTCCATGTTCCGACCTGCCTCCACCGACCACAGTCCTGAGCTCCGAACGTGCGTTTCCTCCCTCGGATTCCCGCCCCCCAGCCCTACCGCTGCCCCAGCGGTGTGAGGACATTTGGTCGCTCATGGAGAACTGCGAGGCCGACAAGCAAGCCGAATGCCTGGACACCGCGAAGGGCTTGTTGGCCGATGCCCTGGGAAAGTCCAAGGAGGAAATCAGTTTCTGGGCTGACCACGAAGCCAGACGAGTGCTTTCTTTTGCGCTACGAGACGTGCGGTTTGTGTGGGGTTTACATTTGGCGGGTGTTTCTGATGTTTCACCAAGAAAGGAGGTTTGAGGGGGAGCTGTTTTAGTGTGAAAAGGGGTCGGGTTCATGTGGTAAAAATGGAAGAGAAACTATAGGGAAATCCCTGCATGGAAAAATCTGGCCGACTCGGCAAAAGGACTCAGTCGATCTCGCCAAGATCGTCACCATCCATTGAACAAAAACATGAAGCTTCTTGTGCCTGTCCTGTTTGGATTGCCAAATCGCAATGGCCCCCCTCATATAAACTAACTGCCATGGTGCTGGAATATTTTTGTCGAAGAGCGATGATGAGGCATCTCTTTCGACCTACGACATACTACATGTCCAGCTCAGGCGATAGCATGCTGCGCAAGAAGCTGGATGAGGCCATGGGTAAAGCCTTGGGAACAAAGATGCGAGCCTGTATGGAAGCAGCAGAGGATGATGCCGCCAAGGACCAGTGTGTCGTGGCGAGCAAAGAAGCACACACTTAGATTGTTGCTCGCAAGAGCTGATGCCAGTACGAAGTCC